GACCGTTGGGTCTGGAGCAGCCATGTCCTTGAAGACCCTGGAAAGCAGCTGGTGGTGCGTGTGGTTCGGGTTAACACCATGCGAACCCAAGCTGGCAAGTCCCACAAGGTCGGCCTGGGAGCAGCCTGACTTGACAGCTGCCTGGGACAGCTCCTGGACGACCTTGGCGCTCAGGTCTCCCAAACACCCCAGCCTTAAAAGGGCCACCGCAAGTGGAGATTCTGGCTTTATCTCGCGACAGGAGGAAGAGGAAGCTTGGTCCTCCGTCTTCCTTTTCCTCCCTGACATGGCTTCGCCTGGACATCTAAACCTAAACCTGGCTTGGTCCTCGAAGCTTCAAAGCGGAGAATTTGCAACTTGAACACGAGAACAAAGGCAGTTTGCAGCAGTCCCTGGCAGCAAAACGCTTCTTTTTGGCGCTTGAAACTCCAGCTTTAGGTTTCAGTAGGCTCTCTCCCTTGAACTGCCTTTGCTCTTGGAGCCTAAGAGGCTGGAGGGTTCAAAACATCCAGACTGCGTGGCATGGACTTAAGGCCGTTCACAGCTTGGAAAACCCTGCCTGCCTGGACTTCATGAAAACTATAAGCTAAAATCTCATCAGGAATAGCTGCCGGGTCAAGACTCAAGACTTCTAGCTTTTGCTGGACTCTGCAGGGCCGTGGTACCAAAGACTGTTGCGTGTTACACGTTGCTTGAGCTTGGGCCTCTATGCAGCAATCCTGAAAAAAAAACTGCTCAGGCGTCCTTAAGGGCCTTAGTGAGTTCCACCTTAAGCTTCTTGGAAGCTTGGAGGGTGGTCACCGCGTCAAGCAAAACGGGCTTCATGTCCTCCATCTTGCAAGCCTTCTTGCCAGCCAGGGTCGTGCGGATCCGCTCCAAAGACTGCAGCTGCTTGGTGAGGGACTTCAAGAAGGTGGCCTTGTCGTCCAAGCCGCTGCCTTGGATCTGGAGCTTCAAGCCCTGCAAGAGACCGTATTCCTTGCCCAGCTCAGTGACGAAGAGCTTGGCCTGGAAATGGTTGGGCGAACAAACAGCTACAGAAACGGTTCGAGCTAAACTTAATTTAAAAAAACAAGCATGAATCGAGTGGCCTTCTCCTTGAGCTGTTCACTAGTGGTCTCTTGGCTGACTTGGCTGGCTTCCTCCCACTTGTTCGTCTTGGCCTTGGGCTTGGGCTTATTTCCACCCTTGTTGTTTTTCTGCCCACTGCCGCCTGGCAAGCCCACGAAGGCCTTGAGCTGGCTGTCCTCGTCGTCACCTGAGACTTCGCCTAAGTCGAAGTCCTCAACGGCGGGGGCCTTCTTTAGACTGTCGAAGGCGAGGAACTCTTCGAGGGAGGAAGCGTCCGCCTTGGCCTGGGCCCTGGAGCCAGCTCTGCGGGAGGTCGTGGTGTCTTCGGTTTCCTGACAATTGTGAAACTGCATGACTCCAGTATCTGTTCTTAAGTTTAAGTGGGAAAAAGATCAAGTATTGAAAAATTATGGCAGCACCAAGCCTTGTGGAGCTTGAACTGAAAGAACCTCCTGTCCTCGTGGTTTTTCCTGTGCTGGATGGTTCCAGCCGCCACTCTCGCCTTCAGCTCTTCCTCGCCGATCTTGTCGCACGTCTCCTTGTAGCTCAACCAGGAAGCTTGGAGGCCTGAGGAGTGGGTGCAACTGAACTCCACTGAGGACTGCTTGAAGTACTTGGCCGGCTTTCCACCATCTTGGATCCACCCCCTGAGCATGCCCCTTTTCCTGGCACGCTGGCCTGATCCTTGGCCAGCGCCGTCCTTGAAGGCTTGCTCGGCTCCTGGATTGCCCTCCCTTGACACCTCAAACTTCTTCCACAAGCACTGCTTCTGCTTCTCGTCGAGCTGCTTGAAAAAGTGGTCGAAGTCCTCCTCCGAAAGGTGCTTGGCTTCCTTGAGGAACCGGTTGTGGTACTTGAGGGCTTGCTTGGAGAGTGTCGGTGCTGTCTTGGAAGGCTTGGCGTTCTTCGTCTCCTTCTCGCCCTCCTTGACCTCTTCTTCGGGCTCCTCTTGGAGCTCCTCGTCGTCTTGCTCCTCCACGTCGCCCTCCTCGGTTTCCTCCTCCTCTGGCTCCTCGGCCGACTTGTACGGAACCAAGGGAAGTTCCTGGACGGCGGATGCTGGCCGCTTGAGGATGCCCTGCTGCTTGGAAGCGGGCTTCTTCAAAACACCCATGGCTGGATGCTTGGCGGAAGGCAGCGGCGTGGGCTTGACTTGGCTTGGATATGCTGCAGATTCGCAATTTCCGCAGCACCTATACATGTTCATTGGTATGTGCGTGTGTATGTATACATTTATATTTATATTTATATTTATATTTATATTTATATTTATATTTATATTTATATTTATATTTATATATATGTGTATATGTGAAAGGAAGCTTGCCTGAAAAGTCGGGGGGTTTGACGTGGCTGGCGGGTGCAATGGATTTTGGTTGCATTAAATTCCCTGAGATTCCTTTAGCATTTTTTTAAGAAAGATGCCGGT